GGTGATAATAATATTTTAATAATATAAATACTAAAAGTTAAATAATAATACATAAATAAATAAACAAACCAATGAAATTTTCTTACAATTAAAGAAGTTTTACTTAATTGCTCATAGAACGAAGAGGGAAAAATACTTTCTAGAATGCTGTAAAATAAAATCGAAAGTGTGTAATTATTTAATATTGCGAGTAAAGAACACAACGAGAGGAAATTCAGATGGAAAAATTGAATTTATTGAGCAATATTACAAAAGTACGTCTCACGAAAAGTTTGAACGAAAAGTTTGAATTGTAAAAATCGCATCGTTATTGTAATTGTAATCGATATGTCAGAGAAATATAATAGAGATATAATAGAGATCCAAATAGAGCCGATTTTGCTTGAAATGGATTAGAGCAGAACAGGTGCAGAATAGGCGGTGTACGCAGAATAAGCAACAGGTGCAACAGCGTGAGTGCTGTAAGCTGCCAGGGGCGCCGCGGCATAGGCAAGCGGAGCTGCGGCGAGCGCGTTGTAATTCCTGGCGATCACTTGGCTGCTACTGGCCGTCACGATCGGCGCTGGTACTGCTGCGATTGCTGCAGGTGCCGTCAAAACTGCTCCTGGCGTAGGTGCAGGTGCGGCGCAAACGGTAGCCAGAAGGACGACGAAAATGCACTACAAGATCATATAAGGATCACACAAGGTGTCAATTAACAAATCCTACGATGCAATTTTTTCCCGCAAGGTACAACCGTAAGATACGTGAGAAAGTACGCACTCGTGTGAATTTATCAACGAGATACACACCAAGATTGTCTGCTTGTTTTTTATTACCTTTATTATAAATTTTTTACCTTTATTATAAATTCTGAATAAAAATAGTTTGAATGAAAATATATCACCAGTTAAAGAAATTGGTAGCAATTGGTTTTTTCTACAGTTTCCATTTTACGTACATACACACCTCAAAATTTTAAAGAATGCACAATGACGATAAGAGTGAATAATATTCTATAATTAAAAATACTAGATATATATAATATAATATAATAGACACCAATTAGGTAGTTATAAACATTCTTTCAAATAACAACTTACCAACTTGAACATAATGGAAGGTTTAATATCAAGAGTGTTACTCGAAACGAGGAAAGAAAGAGTTCTGCTTTCCGAATGAAAAAGCAAAAGCCTTTATAGTATTTTCTTCGACCCCCAACTGGCACTTCGTCAAGGCCATCGGTATCTCTACCTCCTGGTTAATGAATACCGCGTCGAGACGCGTGAAGCCTCTTTTTCTCTTCCTTTCTTGGCACGATTCTCTCAACGAGCACGACGAGCATTGTTAAGTGGCTTTCCTTTCGATGTCGATCTTTTCATCGCGCGGCCTTCGATCGGTTAGCGAAGTAGTGATGTTACATCCGCTGTCCAATAATGTCCAAACATGTTTTTCTAAAAAATATAAGTTTATTCAATTCTTTCTACCTTCTTTTCGAGTTTATCTTTCATAATACCTTACAAAAGTATATGCCGATATAGCTTTATATCTGATATTTTCTCTTTCTTTGTTGCATTTCATTTATTACAAGACCTATACCCATTGACGTTGAAACACATGTCTCTCGACTTTGCCTATCCAGAAATGCTTGAAAGAAGCATCATGTTCAAACATTATTTGATATCGTCTAATGTGAGGATTTACAAGATCGATGAAATAGGATGCGTATGAATTTAAGGATCTATGAAGCTATGCTCTATGACTGCTAATTTGATCCAACATGTATACAAGTGGAGCTATCCGCTTTTATGTAGTAGGTAAAAATTTTTTTCCTTATCGCGCCACTCTGAGATAAATCGGTTTCTCTCAATCACTTTTTTCATGTTTTCTATATAACTTTGTGTAATGCAGATTGAAGGCTAGATCCCGAGAAGTGTGTTATAACAAAAAAAAGATTAGCTGACTATTAATTGTTAGCCATCAGACGTAAGCCATTCTGGATGCGTCCCACGTAATCATTTTCCCTATCGCGCAACCTTGCCATTGTATTCGATCACGTATCTAGGTAGAGAGGCTTACGCAACGTGACTCGCGTCGCTCTCGTTTACATAATTTCGATTGGGCAGATATCTCGGATAACTTATGGGATTCAGCCTATCGTTCTATCAAGGTTATCGAATGGTTCCGAATCGAAAAAACAAATCTTTCATCTCCTTGCTTTAGGATTGTGCCAAATCTATTCATTATCTTGAGACGCGTAAAAATTTGTCGCTCCTTTTACGTCTCCGTACTTGCAAATGCTTTTCTCTCAAATATCATCTGATACATATTTTCTCAATAAAAAATAAATCAAATCTGGCTGATCTTAAGAATGTTTGTAGCCAACGAATTGATTAATTGTCAAAATATCGTCGATCGCGAATCTGATCGCAATTTTAGCGCAACGTTATCCAAGTTTGGGTCACACATCGATAATTTTCGTAATGTGGCTTATTCGGCAATTGAATCACGTACTCCGAGGAAAGTGTGTTGACACATAGTCATTCGGTTAAACATCGAAAAGAAAGCGATCGTCGCTGCTGATCGACAAGTGTCGATGCTGAAGGAATCGCCGATGGATCCCTCGAGTACTTGTACGATTGACAAGTGATCGCACGTAGGCGCAGGGACAAGAGAAGGAGAGTGCACCGTGAAAGCCTTCAGACTGATTACTCGAGCAAGCGGCGGCAAGTACGGCACACTCATCACACATACGCACATGCGCGCGCGCACCTCCCCCCACACACACACACACACACATACAACGCGCGCGCGCGGTTAGCTCGGATCTCGCCCACCACATTGCAATCTTGCGACCTTGAAAGGTACATCCTGCTTCTGACCGCACGTCACGATGGCGACAGGGCAAAAACATATCTTGGCGATCGTTTGCATAAAATATCCGCTCGAGGGCGATCATTGATCCCAAGCATTCCCTTTGATTTCTTCACAAGAAGCGTAAACTTGTCGGTTCATTGGGCAAAAAATCCAGAGCAAGCAAGGACACGGGATATCTTTATATATAACTTTAAAGAATTAGATATATGAATTTTAAATTGTGTAATCATCCTGATAATTTCTGCTAATGAAATAAGAAGAGAAACAATAAACAAGTGTTACATATTTTAAAGGAAACAATGAAGAAAGTGAGAGATAATTAAAGATAATTAGAGCCTAGGCAGACTGTATGAAGAAAATAATAATTGAGGACAAATCGCTTTAGTCGCAATATAATATAAGTGAATAAGCAAAAAGAGATAAATGTGCAAGATATGTCATATCAATTATGTTATTTGCATTTTCGTTCAATATAACATACTAGAATTGCGCAACTTCTTTCAGCCATTTTTAATTAGATTGCGCATTCGGATTTTGCACAGCGAAAGTAATGATATAATGCGATTACAACAGATGGATTAAACTTGCTTATCGATTCATACATGTCGAGGCTCGTCTATCCGAACAGAATAAACAATTAGCAATTTCACGCGGCATTGATAACAATACTATTTCTTTTTTTGAAATGTCGTTATTATTTGTATGTACTTTATATGCGAGAGAAAAAGTCATTAGGCCAAATTTGTATCAGTGAAAATTGATATTTGAGTGATAATAAAAATATGACTCGATCTAGAATCAGAAACCTGTCGTAGTAAATTATTCCGGATGTGTGTGCCTCCCGCACCAATTACAAGAATCGTGGTTATAGTGGGAGAAAGTTTTTGTTTTCGTAAGAGAAGGCACGATGTATATAAAAGACACCCAAGTAATCGAGAATAGACATCGCAGTTTTCGCAGCGAGACGATCACACCGACATCACCATCAATTAAAATGATAAACAAAATCTTTGTAAGTTTTCGTAAATAATTTAATACGCGTTATAAACATAGCCTTACCCAGTGAAAATAACTTAGTCAAATGATGTCAATATGACATCAAAACTGTTGTTTGTCGTCATGGTGTCAAGGAAATAATTCAATATGATGAAAAATTGATACTATATAGATTGAGGTTAAGCACAATAAAACATTATAGAAAAACATGGAAATGAATATTTAGATTATAATTCTAGTATTATGTAGGAAAAAATCCTTTGAGATTAGATATAGGTCTTACATATGCTTTGTACATTTGCTACACATATTAGCTACATATATTACATATTTATCTGGCATTGTGAGTTCATTATTGTAAGTAATTGAAGCTAAATTACGTTAAGCAGTATTTACAAAATGAAGTGAAATTGTTGTTCAATTTATTATTAATTATTATAGGCTGTGTTTT